GGTTTAGGGGTTTTAGGGTTTCGGGTGACACCGTGAGCTTGGGCGCTCTGGCTAAGAGAAAGAAGCCTTGGAGTGTGCTGAGCTCTGTCCCTCTGCATCTCCTTCGGCCCTGTCGCGAACTTTCTTGCGCCGTGCTCCCGAGACCCCCAAAAGCAGGGTGTAGGGTTTAGGGGTTAGGGNNGTTTCAGGGTTGAGGGTTTAAGGTTTAGGGGCTTAAGGGTTTAACGGTTTAAAGGGTTTCAGGGTTCAGGGTTTAGGGTTTACTGAACCCTACACCCTAAACCCAAAACCATGGCCTCCCTGGCCACCCTAAACCCTGAACCCCTACAGGCTTAAGGTTTAGGGCTTGGGGCTTGAGGTCGAAACCCCTAACCCCTAAACCCGGTACACTTAGACCGTACAGAGCAGTAGGCTAAGCACAGATTCCTCAACGCAGTTGGCTATTGCCCTCGGTACTGGGTCTGTCGGCTAGAAGGAGTTCTTTATACATAGGGTTCCGCGTATGGGGTTTGCTGGGGCTTTGGGTTTTCTTGAAAGCTTTAGGGTAACCGCTGACAGAGGCAAAGTAAACCCCAAACTCTAAACCCTGCTTAAGTCCTAGACCGTGAATCCCAGCAGACGTACACCATAAGCCCCAGAACCCCTAAACCCTAAACCCTAAACCCTAAACCCTAAACCCTAAACCCTAAACCCTAAACCCTAAACCCTAAACCCTAAACCTGAACTTTAAAGACTTTAACTACAAGTCCTGTAGACCTGACAACAGCCCTACAAAGTCCCATGACCTAGGGACTCCAAAACCTCTTAATTGAGGAATAATACATTAACAAATATCAGGATCCCTAATATGATTTAAGGTATACCCTTAATTAAGATGCTTTGGAGTCTCTAGGAAGCCCTAAACCCTAAACCCTAAACCTTATAAGCCTTAAACTCTAAACCCTAAAGCTTAGAAGCCCTATAAAACCTCAACCCTAAACCCTAAACCCTATAAGCCCTAAACTCTAAACCCTAAAGCTTATAAGCCCTAAACCCTCAACCCTAAACCCTAAACCTAAACCCTTTTAGCGTTAAGTCCTTTAAGCAGAGGCAAAGTTCCCATCTTCGGTGGGGAGTACACTCGAAGGCCCTGTCGGTCTAGTTACAGCTTTCAGTTTTGGGTTTAGGGGTTCAAGGTTTAGGGTTTAGGGGTTATAAGGTTTAGGGTTTAGGGTTTAGGGTGTCCAGGCGTTAGGGGAAAAGGCAGGTTGTTCAGGGTTTAGGGTCTAAGGATGTGCCATTCAGGGTTTGGGAAGGACCATGAGGCTTAGTAGGTATAGGCTGTAACAAGAGTCATAAGCACTTTAAGGAGGGTCATTTTAACGATGGCTCTACTCATATTCTAGTGACTAAGTCCCTGTGGACTTGGGTTGAGGAATGGAGGTCACGGATTCGGTCCTAGAGATTTTAACTTGCAAAACCCCTTAATGAAGGAATAGATTTAAGGTATTCCCAATAAACCTCTTATAGATCCCTTTAAAGAACCTTTTAAGGAACCCTTAAAGGAACCCTGTCAGGTATATTCCTGAATTAAGGGCTTCTGGAGTCTCTAGGAAGGTTCAGGTTTTCGGGTTTAGGGTTCAGG